AGGGGATGGAAGGATAGAGTTTGGGTTGATGTTGTCATACGAACCGGTTTGGTCAGCCAAATAGGTAAACGGTCGACCACGTATTATAATAGGTCGACCTCATATGGTCTGGTCGACCGTGTCTTGTAGCAGGTCGACCGTATTTAATGTATTTGTTTATTTCAACCAACAATCAACTAACTCATAAATTATGAAGATAATTAGAAAATAAAACACTAACATCATAGTTACAGAAAATAAACTCCTAAAAAACAATAGAAGAAAGTTAAGATTTTTTTATAACTTTTTTTTGGGGCACTTGGGCGAAAATGACCACATTTCCCACATTTCGAATGCTTTCTTACACTTTTGCCCAATGCACTTCGTGCTGACTTGAATGTCCCCTTGGTCCTCCCAATTTTTGGTTCTTTCACACTTCAAAGGGGTGCTAGAGGGTTTGTAGGTGCAGTATTCTCTCCTTCCAGAACTCAATTGCTCATTGAGTAAGGTCATCCAGCAACTTAGAGACATGATAAAAAGCAGCTTAACTACCACACGCGATGTCACACAAACGCTTACACTTTAGAGACAATCCTCCATGTCTTATCAGTCGACCAACTTTCTCTCCCACGTCACCTCCAACTCCATGATGACGATATAGTGTCTTCGCATTTTGGGTCCATCGAAGCTTGAACCACGTGGAGGGTAGTGCGGTGTATCCCATATTTTTGATGGGTGTAAGCATATGTCTGCATGGAAACCCCCTAGATTCAAATAATGCACACTCACATTTTAGATCTTGATTGGTCGTAGTAAATGTTAACCTCCTTATCCGATTCGGGTTCATGTAGTTCTTCAGAATGAATGTCTCTGTCCCATCTGATTCAGCTCTTTTCTCTGCTAATGCATAAGAAGCTTCATTCTCTAGTTCAGACTTGAAGATAACAAATGTACGATGTGTGTAGATACTTCTAGCTTGCTGACTCACTTCTACTGTCACCCTAGGAATTGGCCAAGTGAAACCACTTCCTAAAGCGTAGTATAGCGGGTTTGGGTTTAATTATCAACCCGGGTCCTAGATTTGATGACTACTCAGTGAATTCTTGTTATCTAGCAATGAAACTTTAATGCAAGTCTAAACTAACAAACTAACAAAGCAAGTAAACAGTTGTATTCAGGTTAAGAGAGATCACCCGGATATGGTTCCCCCTAGACTGCAGTTAAGCCGGATTGTAATTACCAAGTTCAGTTTCTATGATAGTTATACTGCGGAAGGTTCTTAAACAGCCTGAAGTCTCGACTAAAGGTCTTCAGACCCTCTCAATCTGAATCTCTAGCGGGCGACTAACCTCCACCGGAGTAAACAGATTGAGGCCTTAACAAACAAAACCTCCACTACCGAAGTGAATCCGGTACAAAATAGTGAGTTGGCTCCTCGACTAAAGTCACCAACTCCCTGCATTCAATCAAGGATGCTCTATCAACCTAGGCAGATATTCTCATTCTAGGTTAAAGCAGAAATAACAGGAATTTGATCAGGATTCAAGTCATTCAATCATTCAAACCTTAATCGAATATAATCAAATCATAGAATCAGTACTTGGGTTCATACAATCAAAGCCTAACATACAAATCTAGGGTTCTCCATACCCAGATGAATGGGAGAACTACTCCATGGAGAAAGAAGCAAAAGCAGAATCAGACGCGGAATTCATACTGTGAAGGATGGATTCCTGCTCCTGGACGTTGATCGGCACTTCTCCAAGCTCAAACTGGCCTCCAATGGTGTTGAAGATCAATCTAGGGCACTTGGAGACTCTTGTTCGTTGCTTTCTCTCTCTAGGAATCGTTCTTTCTCTCAAAAACTCGAATCCCCTCGACTTGTGGCTGAAAATCTGCTTAAAAGCAGAAAATCCCGACTCACACGGGCAGGCCGCACGGCCGTGTGGCTCACCCAGTTGCCCGTGCGAGTCAAAACGCAGCGTATCAATTAGTTGAATTCCAGGCTTCTTGCACGGCCAGGGTCGCACGGCCGTGTGAACTTTCATCCTGCCCGTGTTTGCTCTCGCAGAATTCCACACGGCCAAAATGCATCATCACACGGTCGTGTGGATTTTCTGCTCTGCCCGTGTTTGTTCTCTCACAATCCCACACGGCCAAACTGGTCACTTGCACGGCCGTGTGGGTTGTGGGTGTGCCCGTGCGACCTCCTTTGTGACTTGTCTCGCGCCCGATCTTCGCCCAATCGACCCCGAACTCGCTCCTAAACCTTCATTCACTTGCCAGGACCTGAAATATCACAAACAAGCACAACCTAGCGTGAAATCGGTCTACCACACGAGAAACCACATCTCCAATGGTGTAAGAACAGGGGTGAAAACATGTGTAATTAACGGTCTATCACTTGCATTTCCCATGTGCGAAGGGCATGCTTGCAGACCAACCTCGTGTGCCTAGAAGAATAATCATCATGCACCTCCGTGAAACGCATCCCCTCCAGTTCTTCATCAATGCCCTGAACAAAACGTTGCAAGCTGTATTGAGTTCCCACATACCCATTTATTCAATAGTTACATGACTCACATCACGAGGTTGAATGAAGTCCACCGAAATAATATCCGTCAAGTATGCCTCTGCCCAAAGTAATTTGTCATCGTACAAATCCTGCAACCACTTATTTGCGAACAATCCATGCTCACTAATCAAACGATCCCAGCGCCTCTCAAACTCCTCACTCGATATATGTGCTTTCGCTAAGTGGGTGAATGTGTTAACGAATTGTCTATTATGAACGCCCGTTGTCGCATCTGTCTCAATATGCCAAATACACATATGGTGAGGCACTGCAACCAGAACAGTAGCAATGGCGCCACACATATACTTGCATCCGTCTGTGATCACTAAAGTCGGCAACTTAGAGTTCATACACTCCAGAAAAGTATTCAACAACCAAACGTAGTTGGGGATTGTCTCGTTATCCAACTGAGCAAAACCATATATGATGTTACGGTGGTGGTGATTTACACCAACCATCATAACAAATGGTCGATTATACTTGTTGCGCTTGTAGCATGCATCGAACGCCAAGACATCCAAAAAAATGGTAATCTGCTCTAGATGTGGAGTCCAACCAGAAGAGATTGCTTAATTCACCTTCATCATTGGTTGTGTACTTGAAGATGCTGCCAACATCAGAGGTATGTTTACTTTGCAAGTAACCCAATGTTTGGTTCACATCTCCTATTAGATCGTCGTCAACTGTTCGGGATTTCTGAACAGCGTTATCCAAATTTTTGGAGTGTACCCCAGATTCTCATATCCTCCAACTTTATTCTTCATGAACTGAACAATGTGACATTGTTTTATTCCTGACTGCCGCATCCCTATCGCCAAAGCCCTGTCTCATTCACTCACATTTAAATGAGACCGAAGGAATTGAGTTTCTTCTTCATTGCAACAACGATGTGAGTGCTTCCTCTCGAACTTAGAAACAACCCACATTTTGTTATTCCGATCAAAGTGTACAGTATACGATGCCTTGCAAGAATGTCTTGTCATCTTACGATGTTGCCATGTCCGACCTTCTTTATCTAGATGCATCTTTTGTCTATTCCCCTCTCTCGAACATACCATTGACCTCCCAATTACTACTCCTCGATGACTCCTCCGAAGATCTCTACGTCGAATGCTAAAACCTTTCGCTTTAGCATAGGCATCATAAAATTTCTCTGCATCTTCTAATGTTTGGAACTCCATGGAAGGAATTTGTTCTTCATATTCAGTAGCTTCTTCATCATCCATAAATTCTTCTTCAGCACCCTCCGTTTCCTCATCATCCCCAATTACTTCATCATCTGGATTATCCATAGATCATCCTCGAGCATCCTTAGGTTCCTCATCGAAGTTATTCTCGCCAGCATCTCTATCATTTGTATCATCTCTATTATCTATCCTACAATGATCGTAGTACGAATTTTATGTTAAATAAATGCAAAATTAGGTCTCTTCAGGTCGAGCTTGATCAACTGTACGGTCGACCTTATCACCAAATTACACAACTGAGGTCGACCTGGATCCACTGTATGGTCGACCTTATCACAGAATTACACGGATGGGCTCAACCGTAAAGTTGAGGTGGTTGACCTAATTAGGGAAAAAGTGAACCACAGAGAACCGTTAACCAGCACACACAACACATCAACACATACCTTAGCAAACAAGGTCGACCACTTAGTGATAAGGTCAGCCGGAATAAGAATAAACCGCCACCAACACATGATTACAATAAGAGCGATGAGATTACAATTTCACTCCAACAAATTGCATAAATCAAAGTACGAATAAAGTCTTAATACTTCCATCTAGGGCTGGCTATTTGGTCTGGGTTTTTTGGTTTTACCCAAAACCGGACCGTATAACCAGGACCGAGACCGAATAGTAAACAATCCAATCCAATCTTTGGGCTTAGATTTGAGGTAAAACCCCATTTGGGACCGGATAAAAAACTGGATAAAGACCGGATAAGAGAGTTCAACACCCAAAACTTAAGGTTAATTTGCATAAATGTTCACAAACCTTTGCACTTAGTACAAAACTTAACCAACTCCTCACCCTTTAGGCCCTAGGTCACTCAAATCCCCACAAGCTCAATATAAAATCAAGACCGAATTGGGACCAGAACGGATCAAGACCGGACTGTATCCAATCCAATCCAATCTTTGGTCCTTATATTTTCAAAAAGACCGGACTGGACCAGATCAATTTGGGCCAATTTAACCGGACCGGACCGTATAACCATCCCTACTTCCATCTATTTATAGAGAATGTAGACGAATTCCTTATCCTTACTAGTATGGGGAACACTTATCCCAATTCGTGAAGGAAACATAAAATCATAATATCACAAGGACAAGTACGCAAAATCCTAATTGGACAAGGAGAAGTAAGTAATAAGCTAATTCGGCCCATTTAGGTCAAACTCTTTACACGAATGGTCGACCGTTTTTTATAAAGGCGAAACAGACAGGACTCCATCCTTATTCCACATTGTTTAGGAGCTAAGCAAAGGTATCATAGGTTGACCTTATGCATAGGAGGTCGACCTGTGCTCTGCCTACGGGGTGGACCGCTTTGAGTATGTGGTCGACCACTTGTTCTAGACGATTGAAATCGTAAATTCCTTGACATCCATAATTGTATAACAAATCTAATAAACCAAAAACATTCAATATCCAAAAGGAAACACAACCTCGCAAATATAATTCAACGTATTATCTAAATAATGCAACACTGTAACTTAATGACTTCATTTTTTAGCTTTTTTGTTTGAGCTCTTTCTTTCTTTGACTCTTTCCATGCATTCATTAACTATATGATTGAAAAGATTTTCTCGTGCACGGTTTCCAAAATATGTAGCCAGATACCATAGAATCTCCTTTCAGGCTGGTAATTTGTGTTCTTCTCCTATTTGCATTATGGCATATTCGTTATAACTAAAAAAAGTACAAATTAAACAAGTTATTTGTTTGACGATATACTAACCACTCTATCCAGATCCTTGGATCCATAGTGCATCCACTGCATCTGCATGACGTGCACACCACACTCGATACTATTCCTTTGACCTTGAACGCGTAGCTCTTCGAAATTTAAATCTCCAAAATTTGGTACTACTACATTGCTCATGTGCTCTAGTTTGAAAATATCATGCAATTTGGACAACTACACACAAATAATGAAAATTATATACTTTTAGCATAATACGTGAACTTAGTAGTCTGAAAATTATAGGAAACACTTACAAATTTCTTACATAGGTTTGATTTACACTTACGATTCGTCTCACTAGTTGAAGAAAGGTTGTCAAGCAAAAATGCAGTTTTTTGGTGGACATTGACGAGATACAGAAACCAATGACGTGCTTCATCGTCCAGAACTGGCATAAATATCTAGCAAAGAAACACTCACTGTATGTTATAACAAGAGAATACTAACAAATGCACTTTGGAAATTTAATGAGATAGAGGCATTGTTTAACCTTCTGGCATGCACTAACATTTGGCATAAACACCACGCCATCATCCATCAACTTGTTACGACTTTGTTCGGTCTTCATGTTAGCACGTACCATTTTCTGCACCATATTTTAATTGAGATGAATTGACATGGTACAATATTTATAACTAGGTTATGACAAATAAATAAACATTACGATTCTTACCGAAAACATATTTGGAAAATACCACACATTTGGCTCTTTCACGTCATGTTTTTCAGGCATTGTTAGTGCCCTTGCACACAAATCCACTACCAGCCAACCAACAATCAACCACAAAATCCTCGTAAATCGTAACATAAATAGTGCACAATTCATACAAAATTCGTAGTAGTATAGTACTTACGGATGAGCAAATCCAGCTACTCTCGCTAATGACCGAACTCAAATATTTTCGTTGCACGTTTTCAGTAAATAAGTCAACAACGGTCAAACTGCAAAAATCAAAACAACAAAAATGTCAATTGTGATTTGCAACGTACATGTCGACCTATTCACAGTCAAGGTCGACCTTAATGGCTAAACGGTCGAGCTCATGTACTAAACGGTCGACCACATGTACTACTTAAAAATAACGTCTCTTACTTGTCTCAATTCGCGTCTCCAGCCTTCTCTTTAGTAACAATATAATACAAGTCTTCAACTGGATTTTGCAGATTTTTGGTGAATCCTTCTAGGCCCTCCACTTTCATGACCTACAAATCATAGTTATAATTAAAGTAACATATGAACACAAACACACATTATAGATGAATATGTAATGTGAACTTACTCTGTGCTTTTCGAAAGGATTCTTAGATTCATCTTTGTCGCTATCAGCACTCAATAATCCTTTTCTTACAAATGATCCTTCTTTGGAGTGGTGTAGAAGTCACTTTCATATCGAGGTCTCTTGTACTTAGGAGAGGAACCCTTGCTGCCAAACGTTGTTTCACTCTGTCAAACATATAAACAAAACAAATTAGCACTAATGATAGTTATACTAATATCTTCACTCACATATGAATATACTTGTCTACCTTTAACTTGTGCTCTTTTAATAAATCGTTTATGCTCTGGTAGCAATTTGCAGAGTCATCATGCTCTTCCTCCTCTTTATCAAAGTCAAATTTCTTTCGTGTATCATCTTTTCCTCCATTCTCCATTCGTTATGCACTTATTTCTTCGATAACACCTTCTAGCCTCTCAAAACCATCATGTATCATCCCAGTCATATCTGTCAATCGAGCTGACAATTGCTCCACTGTATCACGAATGGACTTCTGATAGTCATTGACTTATTTTTTATACACCACCAGCTGCTCTTGTGTGGCTTTCAACACTGTCATGATTTCACTCAAATCGTGATGCAGTCTCTCATCATGCGCCATCGTCTAAACAATTTAAAGAAAAATTCAAATCATAATTCAACTTAAATTTTCTACAATTGACCAAAAACAGAGACGTGGTCGACCTGACATATTATTAGGTCGACCTTGAAGACAATTTGTCACTACCAGAACCTTTAAGGCTAACCTTTCTCTTCCTAGGTCGACCTATCCAGCAGGAAAATACTAATTTACCAGCAAAAGCAAGTGTAATATTACAATGAACAACAGATAGGTTGACCAGACAACTTGAGCGACCGACCTTTTAAGCACAACATAGTCTTACAAACAAAGCCAAGGTCGACCTAATAATATGTCAGGTCACCATAGCAAAGTCAAGGTCACCATAGCAAAGTCCTTTAATTTATTAAATACGAATATTAAAGGTGTTGAGTACGAAAATTGACAAATAGAAAAAATTGGAACAACTTGACAACAATACAAAGTTGTAAAGGTACAACAACATGTTTTCTACACCTATTATAATTACTAATTTTCTTTGCCCGCGCTCTGCGCCGGGACGTGAGATTATTAAGACATACTAATTTGAGCATCAATATACACATCAGAATTGAAGAGTGTAATGCAAATTAATAATATGACGAATATTGTAAATTTTATAAAGTGATTTAACGATTTAATAGAATAAAAAATTCAAAAAATAGTTCGCGAGTAAGATACTTACATAAGTTTTCTAGTGTCTCTTAGTAATTAATGAATACTTATGTAATGCATTTGTTTAGTGGATACATAAGAAATAACTATTCTTTCATAAACTTTATGTAATGTATTTTCATTTTAGGTAATTACTATAGAACGCTGTTATATAAATCTTACATAATGTGTGATCTAATAATAAAATCAAGTTACAGAAAAGAATCACATTTAATTAAATTATGTAAAAATTAATTTACCTTACAAAATATTTCCAAGTTAACTAAAAGGAATATGAGCTGCCATCACATTTTATGTAATAAATAGTTAACTTAAGCGGTTAAAAAGTTTATTGTTAAAAAAACTTAACCGTGGACACGTATAGAAGAAGTATGGAACTGGTTGTTAAATATTGATTGTAAACAAATAAAATAACAGTGGAACCGGTTGCATTGGATCATTCTTCTTGTGAACAATATTCCAAATTAATTGTTAATGGGCCGTGAGAAAACTTACCACGTATTTACCGAGAGGAATCCAAAGTTCCGTGCGATAAAATCGTAAGGAACAGTAAAAAGGTCTTGCGCTGTTAATTAATTGATTGATGAGCATAACTTACAGAAGAACACAATATTTAAAATTTCATTTATAAGTAAAAATACCACAGTGTTGGTGTATTGATGAAATGGCCGGACTTGTCACATGGCCTCCCTCTACTATCAACCTGCGCCAAACTCCCATTCTTCCTTCTGCAAACAACAATAAGCCTGCATAAATAAGAGAGCAGGAAAGCAAACAGTATAATGACAGTCTATAGTAAATGGAACTGCCAAATGATATTTCATGATGGAATCCTATGACAATTGAATCATCATCCAAAATCACCAAAGTTAGCCTAAACATCCTACACAAAACAAAGACAATGCAACAACTTCTTGTATCTTTGCTTTAGTATAAGAAATACAGTAACTAATCCCATTTCTTACTCCAGTGGTGCACCATATCAAAATCTGCAGCAGTGGTGAACCATGGGCAGATTATAGATAGAACAAAGTCTCAACATCTTTGTTAGAAACTCAACTCCCAAAAAACAACTCGTGCCAGCAAGGTAGAGAGAAAGAGAAGATGATAAAATATTATTGATATTACTAAAATAGTAGAAACTAAACAACATCAATTCAAGAAACAATTGATGGAACTCAGTGAAGTAATTTTAAGTTATTACAAAGAGAAGTTGCATTCATCAAAGCATCGTCTCCACTAATTCTATCAGTAGCCAACCACAAACAACAATTGCAACCATAAGTTGTTTCCACCATCTCCGCCTGTAGATAATTGAGTCAAGAACACTGAAACAATGAGGTAGTGATAAATGACACCTATCAAAGTTGATTCAAATTAGTCAGAATGAAGACTCATGTATCATGTTTCAAACTCAACCCTACCCTTTACTGTATTTATGGTTGGCAGTGGGTTAGAACCCCAAACTCAATAACCAATATATTGTTGAAAGACAATTGTACCTCATGTAAACTCGTCATCAAACCTCTGTCCTTGATTCTCGGTGAGACCCTCAATCTAGCTGTTCCAAATGCAACTTGAGCCTGCATTAGTGGAGGAATCAGTGTCCCAACAACTATATAAATAAATGGAACCCAGAAAGGGCGTTTACCATATGATTTAAAGGTCGGTAACACCATCATCACCAGCATATTTCTAATAGACCTAAAAGAGGCCGTCAAAATCAAACCCTCTAATGAGGTAGATAGTCCCAACACTAAGAAGCAAACCAAAATAGCTAGCCATCATGGGATCATGTCTCTAGAAAGGCGCAAAACTGTCCAAAGTACACAGATAAAACTGCAGCAATCAATACGTCAAACCAAAAACCTCCACTTCATACGATTTTGTCCCATCTCTCGCGAGCAATGGCTGCAGCTCGGATACATGGATCTGCAATGAAAAGAAAATGGACATAAATTCGGTGGCGCAAACAAAAAGTAACGAATTTACCAAACAAGTTACCTGGTCTGCGAGAGACTTTCGAGGAAAAAAACCAATCTCTTCACCCACTACCTAGCCCCACCGAAGAACATAAAACAACACATCGTGGCAATACTCTTCTTATCACTCTAGATGCCAAGATACTGCACATAACGGAGATGTAAGTATTATTGGACTTGCCATTGTTAGTTGTATTTGTTTAGGGAGTATTTTGTAATTGGCCTTTTATACATGTGAGAGCTGTCGAAGGGTATAAATAGTGATGGCCGAATTGCATCTCTTGTAACCCTAGCAGTAGCAACTAAAAAACCTCAGCATAGTGATTTTCATCTCGAGAGCCATGCTCTCTGTGGATTAGTCCTGGTTTCCTGGGGATACCACGTAATTCTATGTGTCGTTTACTTTCCGCAATCTTCTTCTTTACATGGTATCAGAGCTATACAATTCAAACCTCGCGTTTTGACCTATCAAGGGTTCGAAGGATGAGTCATCTGGCGGCGACAAGCAGGTCAGCTCCTTAAGCACCGATGTCATTCCGATCAGCTCTCCTCTTTACCTTCACCCATCTGAAAACCCTGCCCAGATTTTTGGCAGCGAGTTATTGAATGATCTGAATTACGGTGAGTGGGTCAATGACCTCACCGAAACCCTCATTGCAAAGAACAAGCTCGCGTTTGTTGATGGCTCTCTTCCCCGCTCCGAGGCCGGCTCTGCCCGTCACCAGGAAGCTTGGGATCGTTGTGATGCCACTATGAAGGGGTGGTTGAAGTCTGCAATGACTCGCGAGGTGCGTAACAGCGTACGGATGGCGACCACTGCTCGTGCCATCTGGTCCGATCTCTAGCGCCGTTTTAGTCGCGGGTCAGCTCAGCGGGCATATGAACTTCAGCGCATGATTGCTTCTTTGCGCCAAGAGAAGTTGTCTGTTTCGGCATTCTATACGAAACTTTGTTCTTGGTGGGACGAAATGGACGCAGTTGGTGGCTTACCACAATGTGCGTGTAGTGGATGCTCTTGCGGTGGTTTCCGCTGCAATCTCCCAGCTCAATATCAAGCCATACTTGAAACAGAACGTCTATTTGACTTCTTGCTAGGCCTGGATGATGCTTATTCTGTCGTTCGATCGCAAATCCTTAGCACCAAGCCGATCCCTATGCTCGTTGAAGCCTATCAGATCGTTTCGGTCGAGGAGCAACATCGGTTGATCACTGGGGGGCGACGTCCGGTTGTCGAAACGACGGCATTCCAGGTGTAGTCGGACAAGGAAACAAAAGAGGATCGTGACAAACCTCGCTGTTCTCACTGCAATAAGCTGGGACACCTGCGGGAGACTTGCTACAGACTCATCGGGTTCCCGCCTGGTCACCCGCGTGCGCGACAAGGAGATGAGAAGAACCTCAGCACGCGACGTTCGAGGGCTGCTCATGTTGAGCCTGAAGCTTCTGCCGAGAATGCGAGTCCTCTTCCTGGACTGACTGCAGCTCAATTTGCTCAGTTGAAGCTATTTTTGTCTACGTCGTCTCCTGAGACATCTTCTGAACCTACGACACATATGGCGGGTAATTCTCCTGATCTTTGTGAATGGCTACTTGATTCTGGTTGCAATGAACATATATTCAGGGATGCCCGTTGGTTGCATTCGGTTACTTCTGTTGATGGGTTATCTAAGGTTCGAATCCCCAATGGGGCGGGTATACCAGTTATAGGGATTGGGTCAGTCATATTGTGTGAATCGCTCACTTCGGATCGGGTTTTACATGTCCCAGATTTTCGGTGTAATTTATTATCGGTGAGTCGCACGACTCGTGATCATAACATAAGGATCATGTTCTTACATGAATTCTGCGTGCTCCAGGACTTACGTTCCAAGATGCTGATTGGCGTCGGTAGGATGCGGGATGGTCTTTATTATCTCTCTCGGACCTCTCTTGGTGTTTCTCCGCAGGCGTGCAAAGTGGTTGGCCAAGCAGAAGCAGTTGATTTGTGCCATTCCCGATTGGGACACCCTTCCTTTGATAGACTGGTTACGTTACAAGATTTTGTGGGTTGTAATTTGAATGCTCGTTCTGCTTCTCATTGTGACTCTTGCTTGCGAGCAAAACAGACCATAACACCATTTCCGCATAGTTCTATCAAAACTACTAGCTGTTTTGATCTTGTTCATGTGGACATATGGGGCCCATACAGTACCCCATCGCTAGATGGCTCGCGTTATTTCCTTACTCTTGTTGATGACTTCAGTCGCTCTACATGGGTTTATTTGATGAAATTTAAGTCAGACACTGAACGCTATCTCAAGATGTATTGTGAAATTGCTACTACACAGTATGGTAAGTCGGTTCGTCGCATTCAGGCTGACAATGGCGTGGAATTTCAGACCTCTTCTCTTCAAGCTTACTACGAGGAGAACGATATTGTGCTTCAAACCTCCTGCACGGACACTCCTCAACAGAATGGAGTGGTTGAGCGCAAGCATCGGCATCTCCTTGAGACTGCTCGCGCTCTCATGTTCCATGCAGGTCTCCCCGTCCAGTTTTGGGGCGAGTGTGTTCTCACGGCCACGTACCTGATCAACCGGCTCCCTACTCCTGTTCTTGCCATGAAGACGCCGTATGAAGTGTTGCTCGGCTGTGCTCCGTCGTATTCTCATCTTCGCAGTTTTGGCTGCCTGGTCTATGCCAAAGATACTCACCGTTGTTTGGACAAGTTTGCTGATCGCGGACGTGCCTGTGTTTTTGTGGGCTACCCCGGTAACCAGAAAGGTTATCGCGTGTTTGACCTCCACACCCATAAGGTTCTGGTTTCACGCGATGTACACTTCCTTGAAAATATGTTCCCTTTCCGCGACAAAAGGAATTACCCCTCTCCCATGCAGCCTACGTCTTCTAGTGAGGGGGAGCGGTCCTTTTTGCCTTGTCGTGAGGGGGAGGACCCTTTAGCTGATGAGGAGCATTTGGATGATATTGGGTTGGGAATTGGAGTTGATGCTCCTTCCCAAGACCATGTCCAGCTGGAGTCCACTTTGTTGCCACTCCCATATAGTCCTCGCCGCCTTTCTCCACGTCCACCTCATCGGCCCCTGGTACGTCCAGCTCTGGTGATGATGATGTTCATGATGGTAGATTGCCCGAACCTCACATTTCCCCTACACCTCCTTGTCGCAACCCAGCCCGAGAAAGGCGCCCTCCATCTCGGCTCGATGAATACGAGGTAGAGTTACCTGCTACCACTTCATCTCATCATGTGCAATTTCCTATTTCAGATTACGTCAGTTACCATCGTTTTTCGACTAACTATTGTTCCTTTTGGACCGCCATCACTCCCCTGGTGGAGCCCCGAGACTTCAATCAAGCGGTGCTATACCAAAAATGGCGTGAGGCCATGCAGCGTGAGATCGCTGCTCTCGAGGCTAACGGCACCTGGACTCTAGAGAATTTGCCACCTAGAAAATAACTAATTGATTGCAAGTGGGTTTACAAGATCAAGTTCAACCCGGATAGCTCCATCGAGCGGTTTAAGGCCCTCCTTGTTGCCAAAGGGTTTACCCAACTTGAAGGTGTGGATTTCCATGACACATACGCACCCGTGGCTAAGGTGGTTACCGTTCGTGTACTGCTCGCCGTGGCATCTCACAAAGGTTGGCCACTTCAACAACTGGACATCAATAACGCCTTCCTGCATGGTGATCTGGAAGAGGAGGTTTACATGCGAGTTCCACAGGGCTTCACCAAAGAAGTTGAAACTCGGGTTTGTCGTCTCCGGAAGTCTTTGTATGGCCTTCGTCAAGCGTCTAGGAACTGGTATGCCAAGTTCACTGCAGCCTTGATCGAGTTTGGGTTTACTGTTTCTCGGGCTGACCACTCACTCTTTCTTTACGGGGCGCCTGGTGTCTTTGTAGCTGCCTTGATATATGTTGATGATATTGTGCCCACTGGAGATAGTGTGCATGTCCTTTCTCGCATGAAGGAATTCCTTCACGACCGCTTCAACATTAAGGATTTGGGACCCCTGGGCATCGAGGTCGCGCGGTCTCCTGATGGCATTGTTCTTTGCCAACGGAAATATACTCTGGACATTTTCGCAGACTCCGGCATGGAAGCTGCTCGCCCCAGTATGTTTCCCATGAAATTGAATCACACGCTCACGCGTCCTGGTAGTGAGCGTGTCGATGACTTGAGATACTATCGACGCCTCATTGGTTGTCTCCTTTATCTCACTATTACCAGAACCGATATTGCTTACTCCGTCAATATCTTGAGTCAGTTTGTTCATGCTCCGACTCTAGCTCACGTTGCAGCTGCTCACCGTGTGCTACGGTACCTCAAGAGAGCACCCGGCCAAGGACTTTTCTTGCCTTTTGCTGGTTCTCTACAGCTCACTGCTTATTGTGATGCGGATTGGGTGGGTTGTCAGATGACGCGTCGCTCCATGACAGCTTACTTCATACAGTTGGGTGATGCCCCTGTCTCCTGGCGGGCCAAGAAGCAGCGTGTTGTCGCCCGGTCTTCAATAGAAGCAGAATACCGAGCCATGGCTAGTGCTACCAGTGAAGTTCTGTGGCTGCGGTTTCTTCTTGATGAGCTCTGTGTACCTCAGCCTGCTCCCACTGTTCTTTATTGTGACAACCAGGCAGCCCTACATATTGCTGCTAACCCGGTTTTCCACGAGCGAACTAAACATGTGGAGATTGACTGCTATTTCGTTCGCGAACGTGTTCTTTCACGCAAAATTCAGTCGTGCAAGGTTCACACCAGCGGGCAAGTGGCCGATATTTTCACCAAGGCTCTGGGTGCAGACCAGTTTCATACCTTATTGTCCAGGCTTTGCATTTGTAACCTTCATGCTTCAGCTTGAGGGGGAGTATTGGACTTGCCATTGTTAGTTGTATTTGTTTAGGGAGTATTTTGTAATTGGCCTTTTATACCCGTGAGAGCTGTCGAAGGGTATAAATAGTGATGGCCGAATTGCATCTCTTGTAACCCTAGCAGTAGCAACTACAGAACCTCAACATAGTGATTTTCATCTCGAGAGCCATGCTCTCCGTGGATTAGTCCCGATTTCCCGGGGATACCACGTAATTCTGTGTGTCGTTTACTTTTCGCAATCTTCTTCTTTACAAGTATATTAAGAGTAAGTTGTATTAAAACACCAATATCAATTATTTAAGCGACTCATGTGGTTCCCAGTGGATGTACGTCGCAATAAGCATGTTAGTATTTGCAAGCCACAACTATGTCATATCTGCGGCGTACAATGACAGCAAGCAAATCTTCGTGAATAGGTTTCACAATGAACAACCACGTGAAAAGAGATGAACATGCAACGCCAAGATTTCAAATAGGGAAACCATAGTAGGAAAAAAAAGATGCAACAGTGCCATCAAGAGAAGAAAGAACACAACGTTCAGAAGAGAGAGAGAGAGAGAGAGAGAGAGAGAGAGAGAGAGAGAGAGAGGTTAGTAGATTTAACTGCGACGATGATGATTGTGATTCTCCTGGTTCCGAGCAGCATCCGTAGCAGGGACTGAGATAAACAGAGGAAAATTGAGAGAGAGTGACCGATCCTTGATCAGACATAACAAACTCATATATGACAAAATTATTACCTAAAACAAAACAGAACCCGCGGATATGGGTTTCTTAAAAAATTTGCCAGGCATTTAAAACGCGCCAGTTGATCACTCCAACTCTGCTCATCTCCAAAAAGAAAGTATAAGAGAAACCAGAGGCAAGAATTGAGAGAAACAGAGGAGTAAGAAAAATCACCTAAACAAAAATCACCTGAAATCCGCTAGTTGATCACTCCAACTCTGCTCATCTCCAAAAAAGAAAAAATAAGAGACACTAGAAGAAAGAACTGAGAGAAAGAGAGTGGTAACAGAAGATTCAGTGGAGTGAAAGTAGAAGAGGAGGACGCAGATCTTACTTCTCTCTCTTTCTCAAAGGGCAATCGACTTGACCCCTCTCGCCCTCTTGTCAGTCTTTGTGGTTAATGTGCCAGAGGGAAATGTGGGATAAGAAACATGTGGTAAGAAAAGAGGCACTGGTCATCTCATCTCCCACTCACAGTTCCCTAAGCAACGCACGATATCCCAAAAGCCTCAAAAGTAAAATGAACTGCTATTCGGCGCCCGTATTTTTGGATAAAAAATCAATTTTGCCCTTAAACACTATTAGAATCGAAACTGAAACAAGTCAAATCTTTTGCTGCCGTCATGGACTGGAACCGCCGACTGGGTGTTGCTGCCACCGCCCTAGTGAAACAAAATCGCCGGAGGGTCTCGATGCCGCTGACAAAAACTGAAATCGCCGGCCGCCAACTGGTTCCTGTGGTCTGGGTCATCATCATCTTTTTCTCTTTCACAAAAACCTGGTCGGATTCTTTTCTCTATAGCAAATCTCAACGACAATTCGTCTTCCTCTTTTTTCTTCCGCCAGTCCCGACAAAAATCTTGGCGTCGTTTTCTTCTTCGCCTTCTTTGGCGATTTCGGGTCCGCCGCCGGAGTTCGGACGGGGTCCGCCCTCGTAGTTCGGACGAGGTCCGCCGCCGGATTTCGGACGGGGTTCGCTCCCATGGTTCGGACGCGGTCCGCCCCCGGAGTTCGGACGGGGTCCGCCGCCGGAGTTCGAATGGGGTCCGCTGCCGGCGTCGGACCTATCGCCGGTGACATTTTCTTTCCCCAAAAATCGATTTGATTCATAATTAATATTATGTATTTATTTCTATAATTATTAAATACCAAAATTTGTCTAATTAACCCACATATATATTCATTTCTATAATTAACATCCACCGGTAATTATGGAAATAATTAAATAAAACAAGACATGAAAATAATCCTAATTAAAAATCATCCCTAATTGACAACCATAAAAATTATTTTAATTACCTTGTCTTTCCTTAATTTCATAACCCACGTTTAATTTCATTTACTTAATTGACACAAAAAAAAAATCCGTACCTAACATGTCCTATTCCATACCTACGTCTAATTCATTTCCATAATTAACAATAGGAAAATTAATTTCCTTAATTAACACCACTAAGCACATAAAATGGAGATTTTGTATTATTAGATTAATGACAACCCAAACAAATTCCTTAGTGAAACCATAAGTGGGTACTGGTTCAAATAATTATAAGTTTAAATAATTATTATTTATTGATTGTACAATACTTATAATTGTTCATAATTTATTTATATACTTAGGGTTTGATGTTTACCGATTAGAGTTTCAGTTCGATCAATTAAGATTTAGGGATATTAGGGTCTGAGTTTGACCAATTAGGATTTATGGAGAGTAGGGTTTGACTTTGATCAGATAGGATTTACGTGAGATTAGGATTTGACTTCAACCATTCAGAGGAGAATTTAACACAATTAAATAAATATAACTCAAGATGACAGATAGCAAAAATAAATAAAGCATTTGTTTCTCGTTTACACCTTCTACCCCTCCCAAACCCTAAACCCTTATTCCAACCAAACAACTACATTAAATCTCGATCGATCCAATCCTACTACGACATTGTCTTAGAGGCAAAATCACCTCTGCCTCCACTAACAACAATCATGCGTATCGTCGAAATAAGCATGGTAGGCTCAAGAAACTGCTCGTACAACCCCCAGTGCCCCCGAAAACCTCGATGAAAGTTGTTACACTATTCATACTTTTTTGTCTGAGACGTTCAATTGAGAAACGGTCGATTCCACCATGTTCGTAACCACATTTTAGTTATCCGTTTGAGCCTTCTTATTGTTGTTATCCGTAATCTTGGGTGAGATTGGTTCAACTATGATCAAACTCTAATTAAGTCAAACCCTAGTCCAGGTCAAACCTTTCTTTTTGGGATCCATTATCTTGAGTTGGATTAGTTCAACTGTGGTCATATATATTTGACATAGTAATATAATTATTTATTTGAAATATATGAGTAATGGACGTGGTTTTTTCTTTTTAATATAGGTATGAGTATGACTACATATGAAATAAAATAATAATTGGTCAATTGGAAAAGTCCGTTAGTTAAATGTGGGTGGGTTGTTAATTTGAGAGTGTAATCATGTAAATATTGTAAGCCGTGGGTTATTGTTTTTTTTTTTTGGTTAATTAGGAAAATAATCATCACACATTGGTTATTGGGGAGGATATTAAGTTCGGTTGGTAAATAAGAAAATACTAATTAGATTGGTGACGAGAAATACAAATAGAGGTTGTTAATTAGGTAAGTTTCCTTCCGAGAAATTCTTACTCAAAATGAAATATTTCATAAATGTAAATTTATAAATTTTACCATAAAAAGTTAAAAAATCTCCTATTTAATATTCTACCAAAAATAAATTAAGGAAAAATCAATCAACTCTTTAATGGGGTTGTTAGTTTCCTAATTATCTTATTTATAATTATTTATAACAATATAACTATTTAAGTACAATTATAATTAAAAAAACTAGTCTGCAAAAGAAGACACCGGCGACCCGTCCGACGCCTGAGATCGGACGTGGCCCGACGCTGCAGATCAGACGTGGTCCGACCCCGCAGATCGGACGTGGTCCGAATTCCGTTGTCGGACCGCGCTGCTCCGTCTGAACCCGACGTTTGGTGCTGATCTCTGACTGACGATGGGGAAACGACGATGCCGGGAAGACGATGACGATGTCAGTGAGGTTCGATCTGGAGGGATCCCGAGGTTTTGATCTTCGTCGCGGGATGGATTTTGGGGTTTGGTTGGATTTGTGGCCGACGCTTCTCTCGAATCTAATGATGACGGAAGGGACGGGAGGAGGAAGCGATGGCCGGGGGAGAATTGGCTTGAAGGAAATATAGAGGGGTAAGGGATGGCGTGTTGGACTTGTCGGGAGAAAGTAGGCACCTCTTGTCCTGTGCTGCGATTCCCGGCGGTGGAGGAAAGCCGACAGAGGTTGACTAATGGTTGGTGGGAGGGTTTCCAAAGAAAAGGGATAAATCGTCATTTACTTAGAAATTGTGGGCGGCAAATAGTAATCTCTCGGGCGGTAAATAATAACCCTCAAAGTAAAAGGCTAAAAGGGCTACCCAGAGCTTGGAGGGGCAAATATCAGTCTCTGGTTACAGATAGATGGCAGGTGAACAACGCGTTTGAGGGGTAAATAGAGGAGCCAAAGGGACCGAAGTTTCAACCAGAAGGCAAACCAGGGCAACAACGCAACCGAACCAAATCCAACCAGGGTCCTCCGTGCACCAGCCCACACTAAAGCCCCATCCGAGTTGAAACAGTGTTTATGAGTCTGGATGTGCAGTGAAAACAGTCTTGATGCACAGGGAATGGCTCTGCTGGGGGTTTTCTTTTTTCAATAGTTGACTAGTGTAGGACTAAGCAAAATTTGACATATAAAAGCCACAGTTTTGGGTACTGTTCATTAGTGGCCCACACGGTTGCCATCTGCGAGTGGGCTTCTTCCATTCGTTTCTTCTTCATTGGCCAACGTGGGCTTCTTCTTCTCTCACAGAGACGCTTGGAACGCCTCAATACCCAACGCGCCATCTTCGAACCAGAGGTTCTGGGTTTTGCCCATCGGATAACCGGGTTCCTCCGCTGCAGCTGCCTGCCGTTCGCTTCTCCTCTCTGACACGCAGAGACTCTTTCTTTCGTCCCGTCTCCTCAACACCGGCGCAGGCGCACGCAATCCCTGGTCATACGCCGATGCACGCCACCCAGAACGCTCCAACTCCCAATTCCTCCTCGGAAATCGCTATGAGTCATTCGTGCTTCTTTGCTTGGAAGACTCCTTTTCACACACACAGCCCATCCCTCCCACAACTTTTACTCCCACTTCGAAAATTGTTCGGCGGAATTCAACCTCCAGCCGAGTCCCAAACTCCCAGGTACGCTGCTATGATACTTTCCAGTAGAACAACCCTTTCCATTTTCCAATCTTAGCTCTCTAACCCTAGATCCCGAATTCGCAGCGATGCCCAGCAAATCTACACGACGGTCCAAGCATGTCGACGCTCCACCGGCTCCAGGAATGTCAGAACCGCCGCCATCTACGCCAAAAACTGACCGGCAGGCAAAGAATCGCGGTTCTGTGTCGACTTCCAAAACTCCCAAAGCCCTCGAACGCCGCAACCGCGTCCCGCCTCCTGCTGCACAAGAAACTCAGCCGACGCCGCCTTGATGGAACGGTTACAAGCTACTTCCATTCGTTTAGCTTTGCGGGGCATTGACTGCTCCCTAATGCCCCAGACCCACAAATAGCAGCCGGACGACTTCGTACAACACCGGCGTCATCGTGAACAACCTCTGCGGCTTCCCCTTCTCACAAAGCACGCTGCTTGCCGCCGTCGTGAGCCCATCTCCCTCTGAAACTCGCTGGCTGAACTCCACCTTTGAATCTTGGCGGTTGAGTCACAGGTACTCCTCTGATCCCAACCCTATGCTTGCTAGGTTGTTCCATATTCCTCCCCAATCGTTACTCATCGTCTTCAGTTTGGGAAATCCATCCCGTATTCTTCTGTTTCTCAGCATGTCTTCTCTGACTGCAGGTTGGGTAAGCGAGGCAACGGAATAGATAGCAGCTTTTGGATCTTCTTCTTCCGTTTATGGGTTTGGTCTCTAACGCCGACTGTTGAAACCGTAACTTCCCCCCAGATTGATTTTTGGTCAGATAGTTTATATAATTTCTGATTATTTCCATGAAGCTTGGACTGGGTTTTCACGGAAGGTTTCAACTTTCAAGTGGCTTGCTGGGTTTGTGAGGCTCTCCCTTGCCTCTGCCATTATTTTAGGGTAACAAGGAATTCACTTTTGGGCTAAATTAGTTTTTCCTGTACTTTTGGAGTTCATTAAAGTGAGCTTATTTGTGACCCAGCTTACAATTGTTGTATACCACAGTGATTGATTTTGATGGTTGGCAAAAATGAAACCATTCTCTGGGATAAAGTCAGGGCACCACCAGGGCAAAGTATGGTGTGGGACTATATTAGATGAAGTTCATTCGAGTGAGTCGTCTCTCTCACAATCTTCTTTCTTCCTGCATAGATTGTATGACATATTTAACTTATGTGTAACGATCTACTGTTGCCTTTTTCCGAACAGGCTAGATGAAGAGTTGATCGAGTCACTTTTTGGGTCCAGCATAAGAAGCATGGTTAAAGAGATAGAAGAAATTGAGCAAGATTAGAATCAGCCAAGCTCCTTAGGTGAGAAATCAACTTCAACTTGGCAATTGCCACTCTCTTATGTCCCTGCTTCCCAGTCATGAAATGTATAATAGGTTTCTTGATGATCCGAATGCTGGACTGAAAAGCTTTCAGTTTGTTTTTTCACTTTTGATTAGCTCATCACTTATTGACTATGTTCAACTACATTTCATGTTCTCAAATTGTCTATGTACGGTACTTGAATTAAGGTTAAAAGAGGAGTTAGAGAAGGCACTGGTCAGAGGAGTTCAGGGAGTCTACTATGTTGTATGTTAATGAGAGCTCTCTTTGTTCACTTTTACAATCTTATAGCTTTGCCTTTCAGAGAAGGGTTAAACTTTTTTTGCCAAATTCCAGCAGATTAATGGGAGCACAAGCATGACCAGAAAAAGGTTTCCTGTGAGCTTCTGAAATTAATTCCAAATCATAAGTCTGCAACTAGATTCTTAGCATTATCCGCAGAGGAAGCTGCAGGACAATGACGCCAATTGGTTCTTCTCCTTCTCTCAAATGGCTATGAGGTGCTTACTACTTCCAAATTTTGCCTTATTGTTTTGTTTCACAGGTTGGTGATTAAAGCTTTAAGAAGGCAAGAAACTATTCAGGTCCTGGTACTTATTTATGCTCGCCTATTCTCCATGATTACCTTGCGATGTATGCATATTATGATATATCTTCAATAGCAATCCTCTGAATGCATTTAACTTTCCCCGTGTACTTGCAGACTGCAGTTGATGCTTTCTCAATACCAGGATTGCCTTTTATAACTTCAATCTTTTCTCATCCTTTTCCAATGCCTTTTATAACATTTATGTTGCATTTTCCCGTCTCATATGCTGCAGATGGTTAAAATATAGGTAGTTTGTGTCGGTGTGATGATGATACGAGGACGAGTATGGACCTTAGGTAAAAGAACCTATGCAATCATTTAGATTCTTGCTTAAGATAGATAGAATGCAACTTTAGAATCATTAACTTTGGCTTGGTGCAGTTTGCTTAGAATTAAACTTTTGCCTTTTTTTTTTTATATATATAGCAGGTTAGAAAAGCCAAGTTCATTAGAAATATAGACAGCTATTGTAGAGCAAACTGTGGAGGCTATATTGAGCTGTTCTCTTCAACCGGTGAACTCAAAGAAGAGGTTCTACTTTGTCGGCAGTGAAGCAAAGGCCCTTCGTGGCAGAGGCGGATCATGGAGTTATGGAAAGAACAAAGTAACCTATCAATCTACTGATGATAGCATGTCTCTCTGTCTCAAGTGCATTTTTTTGGCAGGGGAAAGAATACTGGCTTTGTGTGGCTTGAGAATTCCAAACGTCGTTGTTCTTTCAAGGGAAGTAGAACATAATTGATTTGTTTTCTTGGCCTCTTGCATGATTAAGGGTTATAATTCAAATTGATTCATCAAAAAAAGAGTACCAAAGGGGTCTGTTCACATCCAGAGTAGTCATGGTACAAACTTTCGTCAGCTCTAATAGTGTGTTGAAAGCAGCATATTGTGAAGAATTCGGAGGACAGGATCAACAATCAAATTAACAAATTGTTCATATACCATACTAATGTGCATTCCTAACATATAGCCACTATGACGCTTCAATTTAGAGCATTTTACTATCGCGAAGCGCAAGCGAGCGTGTCCTTGCTAGTAGAGATAAATTTTTAGTTTCATACCTGCATGCAGAATTCTTGTTTAAACACTTTGGACCCAATTTGAAGTTTCAACAGGCCTTAGTCTTTAACAGCTCAACCAATTTAAACACTTGGATTCTGACACAAGTGATGTAACCCACAACCCACTTTTTCTTTAGCCGTAAGCGTGTCCCACTGGCCACTAGTATCACTAGGCAATTAAAAACAATCACAACTCATGTCCTGTTCACTTCCCATTTTGTTTTCTGTTTTTTGTTGTGAAAATAGGAATCAAGAAACAAATAGCAGAAAACATGTTCACTTCTAATTTCTATTTTTCGTTGAGAAACCAGAATGCCATAAATGAGGTAGCTGGCGGAAAACAATAAAAAGACGTTTTGGGAAAACTATGACACGGGTTTCTCCCCGTTGCCTGGCGGAAAATTGTCACTGTGCACTTATGAGTCCCCCTGTTCGAATCCTGCCAGCTACTTCTTTTTTTTCCTTTCTTGTTTTGCAAGCCTGGGAGGCTTCCCCCAATTCTCGTTTTAGCTTTTTTTAGTTAATTTGCTTGGCGGTTTTGGCTTAGTAATTTCCCATGAAATAGTAATTTACCATGTGTAAATTTTTTAATCCAAACTTTGTTTTTTCTATGTATACCCACCGAAATTGTTTACCCGTTTACAAAATTTCACTTTTCTACATTGTTTAACCTCAATTATAAAATATATGAATTTAAATTAAATAAAGATTAAAAACATTATTTTATTTTAAACGTGTTTATAATGATAGGATTTTGTGTTTACTCACTATCATATAAAAAATAAACTAGTATATACATTGTTTCTACATGTATTGTGTTTATTAGTGGTTAAACTATTGATTCGTGTTAAAATATATAATCATGACTAGAGTTGTATGATACTCAAGTTGTGGCATGGTTTTCAAGCTGGACTTATTTGAATTTTTATGTTGTACTAGTACTTAATTAATATAAGATGTTGTACTTGTATTGTGTTTATTTGTAGTTTAAAAACTATTTAATTCGAATTAAAAATTATAATCATGGCTAGGGTTGTATGATAATCAAGAATCAGAAAACAGAATGAAGCAACTAAACATGATTTCTTTTTAGAACTCAGTTTCAGAACTCACCAAAATTCTCAGCTAAACAAGGTTTTTTCAGGTTTTGTTTTCCAGGAAATGGTCAGCTTCGTTTTCATTTTATTTTTGTTTTCTGTTGTGGCAGCTAACAGAAATGGAATGGCAAGTAAACGGCCCATCAGCCTTCCTCTGTATTTTTCGATCTCAACCTCCCCTGTTCGAAACAAATACCAAGAATATTTCCAACACAGCAAACACACCACACAAAGTTTATCAGCCATTACTACAACGTGAAATCAAAGAGCTGTTCAATACCGAAGCTGTTGATATGTGATAGACAGAAGAAAAGTGATCAACCATTAAACTCCAATCCTAAATCAATTGTTAGAAGCAGACGACTGATCCGCCTTCTTACTCTTACAAACCGTCTTTATCCATTCTCCGCAACCTGGATCCCTCTTATTCCTCGCTGCTCCAGCTCTCTCCGCAGCTTCCTCATCCGCTTTTAATGCCCTTGACTCGAAATAATTTCGGAGTAGAACCACAATGATGCAACCGACGATGATGATGTAGGGAAAAGGTCTCCTGTAATCTAGATTTGTATCTTCATGACAGTGAGGATAACACTTCAGCTGGTTCTTCATCACGCGGAGAGTATATGTGATTAGGGAAGTCATCAATCCATTCACCACATTGAAGTCTGTGGATGGACGAATCGCTAGGAACGCAACCGTTAATATGATGATTAATAGGAGAAGAAAGAAGCAGTAGTTTGCAGACGATTCCCCTAGCCAAATGTAAGATGAGCTCAACAACACTCCTGCAAAAAAACCCACGGTCTTGGCAATATAGCCATACCTTCTTCGTAAGATGCACCCCTTCCTCCACTTCGAAACGGAAAGGAAAAACGCCACGATGAGGAGTCCAAGCAGAAAGGCAACAAAGATCCAACCCCACTGAGGATGAAGATGATCCCGGTGTAGTCTAGTGAACCGGAACAAATAGATGTGTCCGCCATAGCAAAGCAGGGAGACTATCATCCAAAAGAAGGTATCCGGAACCCTCTTGAATATCTCGAAGAAAAGGGACCTTGAAGTAGGCGCGGCAAGTTTTTTGGGGAGTGTGCTGGGAAGCCACTTCCAATCAGCCATTTCAATAACACTGGGGTATTCATCAGATTTCAAGTAGCGAGAAACCTGGGTGAGCAGACAGGCTGTGTCCAAATAGTCCTCGACTGTTGGCTTCACTGTTAATAGCTGCAGTAATGAAATTGAAGAAAAAAATGAGAATTTTTGGACGATCCAAAAGACGACAACAGAGACTTACTTTAACAATACTAAGAAGCACATGAAGTCATGAACTAAGACAAAAATAATAAGAGTGAAGCAAAACAAAGTAGTCATAAGATTATAGCATTACCATAGACAACTGGCAATGCTTCTGTAATGGTTCTTGGGGATTCTTCTGGTGCCCCAGGAATCCCTGGAAACGAAAGGTTATTATGATTAATTAATTCAGCAGAGATGGATGCAGAGAATATTGCTCAAATTCCAAGCTGTCCACAGAAACTCAATTAAGAACACATACTCTGAGACCGCAGCATAGGTCAATGATCATGGGAACGTTATTGATGAAATTGCTTTTTGGTAGGTCAGCTCCCTGCACGATCACCGCGCCAGAAACTAAGGTCAAAAGGACTTCATCTGATTGTAACAACAACCAGTAATGCTGAATCCTAAGTGCCAGAAGTTCAATCCCCACAATGACAAATAAAAAATGGAGAACTTAATCTTTGCATTCCAAAACAGATTTGAAGCTTACAACATGACCCAAGAAAGGAAACATAGAGCAGCAATAAGACTGACAAATTATCGCAGTATCGTTTGTGAAGCTGAGATTAACAAGTATGTGCACACCATAGCAAAATATAATTCCCACTTTTAGCATTCAGAAGAATGGTTGGTTCTATTGACACATCTATAGTGAATCTTGGCTAAAGAACTAAGATATATGCTTATGATCCAACAACTTCATCGTGAAACTTAATATCTATGGACTTTAAATGCCCCCATACATCAGACTTATTCAAAACCTACTAATTCAAGGACTCAGAATCGACTAAAGACTAAACAAAAAAGAAGCAATTTAGAAACCTGAATCTCTGTTCTGTTTCCCCTCTCAGCTCCAGCAAGGTCGACAATAGTCAGCCGAGCATCACCTGATTGACCACTTGATACTTCAGCACGTTGATCCACAGCCATACGTACAGTAACGATGCAATGAGCTCGGCTGCAAACATGTTAATCAAGAATCAAACTAGGAGAAAACTTGCTGCTGAATACAACATCCACACCAACTAAAGTTAGACACAGTTCACACGTAACATGAGCACCTGGATTGATTGTATGAGTTGGTGGTGGTTGTTGCACGCTTAGAGATTGCAGAAGCAATCAAGGTTGAAACCATCTTGGCATTAGGAACTACAACCTGTTCACTCACAGACCAAAATGCACCTTTACATGCCACACAAACAAAAGGAAATCAAATCATTCAATATCCAACATATGGCATGGACTGCAATTCTTGCCTCTCGAACCCCTTGTGTAGTTATCTCAAACGCGAAATCGAGTTCTTCAGGAATCAGATCACGTATGTTCTCGACCATACCACTATCAGAATATATTTCAAAGATGGACAGATAGAATGACCTACAATGATAACACAATCGATTCAATTGGTAAGAACTGTTTGGGGAAAGAAGACTTCACATACTTCCACTAACCCATTCAATTGGTAAGAACTGATTACCTTGACTGGTCCAGAATTTGCTGAAGCGCAAGTGGGAACATTCCGGGCTCACTTAGAGTCCCGAACAAGGTGTGACTCTTCCCTGAATCACTTGGCCCTAAAGCCACGAGCATTCCACTTCTTCCTTGAAGGAGATCGTCAACCATCGGCTGCACCATATTCACGTACACCTCATTCTTCCAAACAGACAACCAAACAGATTTTCAGGCTCGGCACAAAATTACAATCGCACAAGGCAAGAAATCAAGAATCGCGAACTGTAAGTAAGGATACCTGCGAGGAATCTTGAGTGAAGACGTGAGCAAATCCTTTGTGGACCTTTGGTTTGCTCTTCTTCTTCTGATCTTCCGGCAACGGCGACGGAGAAATCGTCACCGAGTGGGAATCTTCCGCCAATATGGAAATGTCACCCGTGTCAGACCTGGACGGCTTGATTCTTACGAAGAACTTGATAGTCTCTACCGGCTGAGCTTTGGATGTTGGAGCACTTGGATCGTCCAACATCGTCGGGTTGGCGGGAGAATTCTCGGGGACGGTGTTGTTTGGACTTGCTGCAGACTCCATTGCTATGATCTGTAGCTCGATTGGTTTGGAGAATTTGGGTGGGGATTTAAGCAAAGCAGCTATGTGAATGGAAGCATCTAGGAGGTAGGGAAATGGAAGAGAGCTAGGGAGGAGCAGACTGAGGCCAAATAGACGAGGGGGAGTATCCCGTCCCTCGAATCATCGCGCCATATTTTCTATTTTGATTTTCTTTAATAAATTAATTTTGGTTTGCCCATTTCATCATTTGCGGTTTAAGCTCCTAAACACATCTACTAGTATCACTAATTGAAGCAAGTCTTCTTTTTAAGTCTCCTAATTTTCTTTTTGTCCAAACTTAGTAAGAACTATACTCATCCTTCGAGATACATGACTTAAGAAGAGCAAAGCGGTATATATAAAAGTAATGTTTTTCAAATGGGTGGGAAAATTGTAAGTTTGGTAATTGAGATTTCTAAAATGTTTTACTACAACCACTAAAAATATTTTATTCCACTTGTGGTCATTGAAGTTTAACAATCCAATTTTGCTCACTTGCCGTTAGCCTCCGTCAACATCCGTCAACAACGTCAGTTTTTTTGCTGACGTGACTAATAGAAATGCATAATGAGCCTATTTAACCCGAAAAAGTAATATCGACCCGCCACGTCAGATTGCCTCAACCCAACCCGTGACCCAGGCGATCTAATCCCTCTCCACATCTCACCCCCAATCCTCTCCTTCTTCGTTCTGCCCATAGCCAACGTCACCAGCCACTAGCCCAGAAACCCACAGATTCCCGTTAACCCCTCCTTCTCTGCCTTTTCTCTATCGCCATCGTCTACGTCTCTTATCCCCCACCGTGACCCCTCCTTTTTCTCCGAATCAAAATCCACATATTCCCTTGATCATCTTATCTTCTCTACCTCTTCTTCGCCGACATTTCTGCTCTGTTTCACTTTCTCCTTTCATTTCTTCTTCTCCCTCTCATTTGGGCTTCTTCCTTTTGCATCCCAACAACAAATCCAAGCCTTCCAAATTTGGTATCATACCCAGAATCACACAGATTCCTAAACCCAAGCCTTTCTTTCCTTCTTCCCTACTATTTCTCTATTGTTTCTGTTATTGTTGTGTTGTCAGTATCGTTGAATAATTTCTTTCCTTCGCCCTAATGATTAATCCTAGTAATGAAAGGACAAGTATTGTTGGGCACTCCCTCTGCATGTAAGTATGCGACGCCATATTTAAGAACCCGAAGACAGTTCTAACAAGCTCCAAATGAACTTGTTTTTTTTATCTTGTACTTCTTGATCCACACCATCCATAAGGAGCCAGCTTCTGTCAGTAGATTCCTAAGATGCCCACTCACACAAGTTTTGTTCCAAGTTTTGAAATCTCGAATTCCCAAACCACCTTCTATCTTTGATAAGGAAACCTTTTCGCAGGCTACCACAACTCTCATCCTCTTCTCTAAGTATCCAATCCCCCAACCTCTTTAAAACCTTTTTGGACAGCAAGAAAAGTGTCATTCGGTACTACATAATGCTAGTAATCACAAAAGATATGAGTTGTATCCTTTCTGCCTAACTCAACATACAAGTTTGTCATGATCTGGCTCGTGTTGTGATTTGGTCAACGAGAATTTTACAGTCATTAGAAAAAGCTTTCTTGTGATTAGTGGCACCCTAGGTAGCAAATAGACAACTGACTCGCTAAAACACAACTCCTAACAATGGCCAAGTCTAACCAATGAAAGGGAATGTAGTATAGTGGTGCAAGTAATAAATATCGAATCATCGGGTCTCTTGATTTACTATTACTCAGCTTTAGTTCATTATATAGCAAATTAGATTAAGGTTTGATTACCTAAACTACTCTACTAACTAAACTAAGTAAAACTACTGATTACAGGTTGGGAACTCACTTAGGTATGATTCCCCTAGTCTGCAGTTAGGCCAAGTTGTAATTCACCCAATCCAACTCAGTTGACAGATATACCGCGGAAAGCTCTTAACTGGTTTGAACTCTTGACTAAAGTTATCCAGACCCTCTCGGTTCGAATACCTGGCGGGCGACTAACCTCCACCGGCATAAGCTAACCAAGGTAAAACACATAAAACTTCCTCTACAGGCTTTGATTCCAGTACAGAGTAGTGAATCAATTTCTCGACTAAAGCAATCGATCCACTGCTTCCAATTGAGGTTGCTCTATTAACCTATGTAGAGACTATCGTTCTAGGTTAAAGCGGGATTCTTAAAAGTTTGATCGGGACTCAAGTAATTCTAAATTAATGCCTCAACTGAATATAAAACGTCAATCAATCATGAATTTAAGTTCATACAACTCTTCCTAGCATACAAATCTAGGGTTCCTCAAAACCTAAGTGAAGGAAAGTACTCCATAGAGAAGAGAGAGAATGCAGAAATCTGATCTAGATCTTCAATCCCCATCTCCAAGCTTGTTTCCAGATCTCCAATGGTGAAGAAATCCTCCAAAATAGCTCCAAGAATATTCGCAAGGTGCTCTCTCTCTCTAGGGTTCGTCCCTTGGGTGTTTGGGATCCAAAACCCAGCTCTCCTCCTTCAGAATCCGCAAAAACGAATTTATACCGCTCACAGAAGCCAAGTTACGGCCTCAAGTTACGGTCGTAACCTTTGGGGTTCAGGCCATAACTTCTCGAATGTATTCTGCCTCCAATGACCCCGAGTTACGCCCAAAATGCCAAAGTTATGGTCTAGGTAGTAACTTTGAAGGCCAGGATGTACGACCCATGTAACAAGCTACGCCAAGTAGAAAGTGTATCTTTAAATAGGCTATTGTCTTTCTGGTCCTTTCTCCCTCATCCGAAATCCGAATCAGTCGCCGTTTGATCCCAGAAGCTCGTAGACTCATCCTCTTTATTTGAATGCCTAGATTATATAATTATTTGTCCATTAAATGAGATAGAAATCCATTATTTCTCGGGGCATTCCCGAGTTTCTTCCCCCGAGTCTCCAATTGATCTCCGATTGACTTGAAACTTGCGCCTATGCTTCACTTTACGTGCTAGGACCTGAAATGTGACAAAGGAACACAACCTAGCGTAATATAGACCCAATTATTATGAACACCAAGCTAAACAATCAAGAAATGAGGGGGTAAAACATGTGCAAATTCAGTGTTATCAACAACCCACCCATAGGGGTCCCTATTACTCCGGATATCATCAACATTTCATCCTCTGGAATCCCAACACAGAATAGTGACATTTTTCTATGTTACACTTAAGACCCAAATCTTCATAAATCTTACCAGAAGTCTTTAACCCAGTCACTGCGCTAACATATTCATTAGTGATAACTAAGAGATCATCCGGAAAACATAAATGAGATATCTCTAAAGCCTTACTCCTAGGAAGATGTGGATTTGATTTGTAAATACTGCTTGACTCATAAGACATGATAACAACTCCATAGCAATAGTAAACAAGTATGGTGAAAGCGGATCCCCTTGACAAGACCCTTACATGTTGGAAAGTAGCCGCATAATCCACCATTAAAACAAACCTAGTTTTTTTTATAACATTACGGAGGACCAAATTTACTATTTTGACTTACCTCCAAATTGGGGTGCAAGAGAAGGAGGGAGGGGAGGGACTATGGCTTTCTTATTTTTTAATTGTTTTATAATACATAACAATAATTATAATACTTTTTCATTATAGTTATTATTAATGTAGATTTTGTTCGAGACAATCTGTTAAACTGATCATGAGAACCCTATAGGATGATCAATTATGGTTTTAGTCATCCTTACCAGTCATCCGATGAGTGACCATATTAGTGCTAAGAGCAGGAAGTAGAGTGACAAATGTGCCTTTTGTGACAACCGAGAGACGCAGATTTACTACTTTGAAGAATGTGAATGGACAACTCGCCAGTGGAGAGCTTCGACCCTTTCACATTTCTTCTTCTACGTGGGCAGGGTGATTGATATGCCTAGGTAAAGATGATATATGAATCAGTGGATGAAGCTTCAATAGAAGCGTGAGCAGCCCTCCTTTGGTTCCTGTGGAAGGAGAGGAACACATCTATGTTCAATGGGAAGAAGCTCCCAGAGGGAGAAATAGTCGGCAAAGCAAACTCTTTCTTGCTCGACTACCAGCAACAACAGAGGATAAGGGTAGAGGAGGAAGCGCGAGAGACTCGGTGGGGTTGGACGAAACCAACCACGTACAGGACAGATAAAAATCAATACAGATGCTGGTATTCTGGAGGGAGGCGCTGCCGATCTTGGAGTGGTAGCTAGAGATGAGAATGGCAAATGTATCTTTGCGGCAACAAAGAAGATCACGAAGGATTGGGAACATGAGATGGCAAAGGTCTTTCCAGCAGAGTTCGGGCTTCAGACTGGCCAGTGGCCACCAGCTAGGAATTGCGGACCCAGTGTTAGAGTCGGATTGCCGAACGCTTATGCAAAAGTTGGATGAAGTGAGATCGGTGCAATCCGAGATTGGTGTGATATGCCGAAGCATCTGCCAATATCTGCAGGCCATGGGAAATGGCTATTGACAGCACTGTCCCGGGATGAATAACCATGTAGCGCGCTTGATGGCTCATTTTGTCATTTACTCGTTCTAAATACTACAATAATTTCCCGCCTAAGGTCCAAGTATAAACCTTAGTCGGGTGCAGTACAGGATAAGTATATTTAAATATCAACCCGGGCCAGTCCGTCTACTCCTACTTTAGTCATTTGAATTATTATCTAGCAATAAGGTTTTGGTTGAAAAGTTTGCTAATTAAAGTAAAACAGGACAAAGGTGAATGGTTTTGAAAGCTCTTTTGTGGAAGGATCACTCGGGTGTCGCTTCCCCCTAACTACTACCATGGTATGTGAATCGAAAGTATTGCTATGGGCAAGGTGATCGCTGACCGCTAGGGGACTCAAATATGGTCGTAGACCACGCTAAGCTAAACCGAGGCATGCATTATAGGATGTCACTAGGCCCTCTTGGTTTGGGCAATTAATGGTTGACTTACTCCCTCACTCAACCCAAGGGTTGGACGGATTAATCGCGCTTAACCAAAGTGCTTACTCCAATATTGAGGTTTGCCCTAAATTAACCTAGTTAGAAGACTTGAAAAGCCCTAGGGATACCAACTCAATTGAGACTCCCTTGGAAGGGGGGTTTCCCTCTCTAGACTAGGTTAAGTGGCTAATTAGATTGCTAAGCATAGACATGCACAAACCTAAGGATGCTAAGCACAAACATGCACAATCAAGATGAATAATACCTCAAACATTTGAATTAAACAATACCCAATGACAATCATTCAATTCACATAAAATAAAACTACATGGTAGAGTTAGGGTTTCACAACTCCCAAGTGAAAAGAATTCTACTCCATGCTAGAAATGGGAGAAACACAAGGAGAAGGGGTAGAAACCATTTTGGAGGAGGCTTCCAATCTTCTTAGCCCTTGTGTTGAACTTTCCTTGGAGAAAATCTTAGAATTTTTTGTATTTTAAGGTAGTTTTAGATAATGCCATTTTTGTTGGAATGTTCTAACGAATCTTACTATATTTAAGAAAACAAAATTATTTAAGCCCAATAACAGCGCCAAGTACTTTTTTGCACAACCATGACTTACCTTCAAACGCCTTCAAAATCCACCTTGGAGCAAAACCCTAGGCTCCTTCTTCTTTGGTTCGTGTTTCTCTCTCTAGAAATCAGAAGAAGGCTTTCTAACTCAAATGGGCTCTCCCCCTCTATCTTCCTTTCAGCTCAGCTTTTAAACAGTGAACATGTTGTGTTCACGGCTCCAGTTCACAGCCGTGAACACTGAAACGCATTCGTGAACTCCAATTGGGCGCCGAAACGCACCGCTTCGCTTGCTTGTGTTCGCGGTCCACAACTCCTGTTCACGGTCTTAGCGACCGCGAACACAATTGGCGTCAGTAACTTGCACTTTGGCTCTAGGATCCGACTTGTATCAGCGATACTAATAGGAGTTAAAGATTATGGAAAAGAAAAGTTTGATTCAGCGTGAAAAGAAAAGGAAAAAATTGGAACAAAAATATTATTTGCTTCGTCGATCCCCGGGCCTTAGCAAAAAAGGATTAGGTTGTTTTGGTAAATACATACAACCAACTCCAATTCAGGACGCCTCAAATTTCACGGCCAATGGCTCTTCTTCACGGTCATGTAAGACCGTGAACATCCCAAGAAAACCGTGATCTCGCCCTTTTTCACCTCTTCTCCCGGTTTTTTATACTTTTTGTCCAACTTTCGACTCCGAGGCTGGTTTCACCTGTTAAAGCCTGAAACACACTAAAACACAAGAAACCTAGCGTAAAAACCAACCTTTTAGGAGGGAATTTTTCACAAACGACTAAGGAAAACGGGGGCAAAACATGTACAATCAGGTCCGAATCACTCCCCCACACTTAGACATTTACTTGTCCCCAAGCAAACCATTTCACACAAGGTTATCTTTCAACCTACACAAATACCTTGGGGATAACTCAAAGGGCACAAAGTGGGAATTCTCAATGGCTATTGGCAATCAATACATGGACCGTTGCAAGCAATACTGACATCCACCACAAACGACATTCGAAGCCACCAAAAACGAGCAAACGAAAAGTTCTCACCTTGTTCATGGATAAATGCAAGTCTCAACAAGACCACTTATCAACCACAACCAACCATGCATGGAATTCAAGTCCGAGGAACAAATGGAAAGGCAACAAAGGTCCTCACCGGGGTATGATATGGCATGCAAAGCAAGAATGAATCACTCACTCTCAAGACCAGTGGGGTCGGGACCTTTTTTGTTCAAAAGATGTGCACAATCACAAACTCTCGGCCCTATCGTCTCAATACCACGGCGGTAACCTCTAAATTCTAGAGTTCACGGGATGGTTGTCACCACTAGCTTGTTTGGAGGTCTTAGACACGGGTTCAGATGACTGGAAATTGTCTTGGACATGGGAAAAAGGCTTTTTGGGTGGTGGCAATCATGACGTGAGGTTCTACATCTTTAACCTAAACCTGAAGGTTCTATGGTTTCGACTAAACCCTTCTCTTCAACCCAAGGCCACTAGCATCGGCCAAAAACCTTATCTCTTCCTCGGTCCACTCTTGCTAGCAAATTAAGGTTTGGTAGTGAAGGAGTTCTAAAACAATGTGGGGGGTTTCAATGGCTTGGGTGCCAAGAAACCCCTCCTAGAGCATGTACTTTGGTTTTTCGTGGCACTCTCTACTTAATTTACCCCATTTTATTACCTCTTTTTTGTTTCTCTTTTTTTTAGGGGTGTACTAGAGAGTAAAAACACTTGTCACCTATACATTTAACGATCAATGCTCTCTTTTTGAGGAACTCACTCCAACACTACACTTCGTTTTTCTCATTCCTATCAAGAACCGCACACAAACCTCCTATGTAGAACCTCAATGGAACTCAAAACTGAGAGCTCCGGGACGCAAGGACGACTCATGTTTAGACACGAAGAAAGGATTGGGGGTTGGCCTATCAACACCATTAAGCTCACAAGCACGAAGCTCCTAACTTAAGAATGACCCTCGAAGTCACAAGGCTCAAAGGGGTTGACTAGTGGATAACACATTTCGGGACAATCAACATTTGGCCATGGACTAATCCTATCCCTCCATCATACTCACTAGTGACAACTGTGATGTTACTCGCCATGGTAAGAAAGATCTAAGCACACAATAAGAAAATGATCGGCTCAAGGCTCACATGGCTACCTAGTCACCCAACCATCTATTCCAATTCACAAACACAATGCATGTCAATTGTACTCAACAAGTAATCGAGTCAAGACATCCATTCATATATGCACACATGAGAACTAAACTTTTGCACTATCCTAATGAACCTCTCAGTCATCATCATAGGATATACTCGATCACATGCAACAATTCAAGATCAATGCCAATAAACATGAGATTTTCCCACACACCGGCCACTTTGATCATGCAAACATTGCTTGGAGCCCTCAAATTTTTAAAATTTGGGCATATATCAAGGCTCCAAGCATCCATCACATTCACACAAGCATAATAGTAAACTACCCCCCCCCCCCACACTTAAACTCGACATTGCCCTTAATGGCGTAAGAAAGGGGTAGAATGATGTTACCGGTTGGGCTTGGTGAGTGAAAGTTGCAATCAAATCCGAGGTAGGATATTTTGAGCTTCAAGGAGAGACAAAAAAACACACAAACACAATACGACTCGCTTGAGGCGAGGTTATTACAAACACAATACGATAGTAGTGGTTTATGTCACACACACACACACACACACACACACACAAAATGAAGAAAAATAACAAAAACAAAAAGCAAGTTCAGGGTTACAAGTGGAGAAGTGCGGCGAAAGGATTCGGCTCTGCCACATGTCTTACTCGTCGGCTACCTCTCTATGGTGGAAGGACCAGCGGCCTCATATGGGAGGATGCCCTGGCGTCAAGCCATAAGCTCGAGGATGTTAGTCTGCTGGTCCAGGCGAGAAGAGAATCCCATGAAGCTCGTCTCAAGGCGATCCACCCTCTGGACGATGGGATCACCTGCTGGTGGTGGTGGTGGTTGTGTTGGGATCTGGAGCGCTGGACGCCGGTGACAACCTAGTGCACGAGCATGTGCTTGCTCTGCTGGTAGAGGGACCTCTGGGTCAGGCTCCACCGGAGCCAGGTCAACGGCTGCTTGGATGACTCTTGAAGGTCGGAGTCCCTCAAGGTACTCAACTCCTCGCTCTCCCTGGAGTACCAGCTTCTGGTTGTAGAGTATCTCCATTGGGTAGGGAGTTGTCCTCCCAAAGCTGGTGCACCCCACCATATTCACCTAGAAGTGCCAGGCTATCCTTGTAATGAGGCCCCCCATGTGCATCGTGTCCACTCTGTTCCGCCCCAGACACCGGGCGAAAGAAGTGGCAATTAGGGATCCCAGATGGATCGGCTCTGCTGGACTCTTCATGGAGTAGAGGGCAATGAGCCCTCTGTTCGTCATCAGATGGTCGGACTGGATGCTGGGCATGACTGAGTAGGTGAGCAAGGTGTGGAGGATCCTCCACTAGGTCTTCAGCTTCACCGCATTGGTCTGGCTCCTGGTAAACTCATCGTGCTCATGCTCGGGGTGGCAGAGAGCTCAGAATGCTCGATGATATTCGAAGTCGACTGAGTACTGTTGCTCCGTCATCGTCATGTGAGTGGGTTCGAGCCCCATCGCCTAAGCAAAAGCGTCGTAGGTCAGCACTCATGGCTGACCTCCCAGCATGAACTCCACCCTCGGTCGGCTCTTCTTGCTGGCCGGGACAAGTGGGAGAAGGTGGAGTAGAACTCCACACACAGCTCGTGGTAGATCTCCTCATCCATCGTCAAGAGCTGGCACCACTGGGAGGTGACAGAGCACCCCGGTCATCGCGGCTCGGCACCTGAACAAGTTGAACATGTCTAGGTCCAGGTGCCAATGAGGCCCAATCGGGTTGCCACTCTGATTGGCGAACTTGTCGCCAAAATCCGGGTGATTCGCCAAGTATCGGATGTACTCGTGCTCCACGTTAAGCATCCTGCACAAATTGACAAATAGACACCATACGTGGAAACAGTCATCAATTAATGCTCATTGGGAGGAAAAGAGATCCCCCCCCCCCCCCCCCACAATTATTGTTCCACCATGTATATTAAACATTTAAGCTCAAGCACACCGTGGCATGGTTGTGGGTAATACACGGTTCAGCACACAAAAAGTTGAACCACAACCCAAACCACGGTGGCTACCATCCACCAATCAAGCATAAAACTCCACTTGCATTCATAACATAGCACTTGGTGGGCAAATTCTAAAAATAAAGGCAATTCGGATCGAACACGCTCACCAAGGCTCAACTAAGCTCATGCAAAAATCATTACACCATTCAATCGGCCTAATTCACCTAATTCCTCACCCTCAATCTAAGTTCAACATGCAAAGCAAAAAAATCATCCTCACTTCACTACCTAATCCAATTCTCCACAAATTACTAAGGTAAAGCTGAAAAAACCAACCTAGAGACGCAAGTAGGACGTAGGAGGAAGTGAGGTGCGGGCGAGGAAGGCGAAAAACAGCCGAAAACTGACCGGAGAGGGGTTGCCAGAGCTTCGTCGGAAGCTCATCGGAGACTCGCCAGAAGCTCGCCGCCGGCGACTTGACCGGAAAAAAGTTGGCCTAAATCTCCCCAAAATTTCAACACATGCCGGTTTTGATGAGGGGCGAATGGGTATGACGTTTGTTTTGGGTTTTGCTCGCCGAAAATGGGGGAAAATAAAAAAAATGACGTAGTTTCGCGTTTTTCCGAAGAAGATTTGAAATTTTCTGGCGAGATTTGGTCGTGAAGTGAAGTGAAGTGAAGAGTCATTGTTCACACCCCTTTTATGGGCACAGGTCGGAGTTCACGGACGCGTTGCCTTGTTCATGGTCTTAGCGACCGTGAACACTCAAATGCGTCCGTGAACTGGGGTTGGTCGACAAGTGGTGAACATGCAGAAGCGTCCAGTTCATGGACGCTTTTGCCTGTTCACGGTCTTGTAAGACCGTGAACTCAGCAATCCGTCCGTGAACATCGGAGAAAATAGGACACTTCTGAGACAAATTTGACTCAACCTATTCCACCGTGCCTCCTAATCGATTACAACACAACCGTAAATCGCAAAACCACAAAACTTGGCACGGGGACACCACTTGACCACTTGAACTCTTCACTTGACACAAAAACGAAAATAAGAAAAAGAAAACAAACCTCTGTTGGGTTGCCTCCCAACAACCGCTAATTTATCATCATTAGCTTGACGGTTGGGGATCGATCACGACTTGGATCGTGATGCCTCTGAGAGTGGATCCACCACACTCTCGGGGCGAGGCTTGTAGCCTCCCGTCTTAGGCTCCATGACTTGTCCCTATTGATTGGCTAACTTCGCTTTGGCCTTCTCCTTCCTTCGGGCCAAAGCTTCTTTCATCTTTTTCCTCCAAACATTCTTTCTCTTCTCCTTGGGCATAGTACCCTCCTTCACTTCCTGCTCAACATTACCAAAAGCAACACAAGCAACGGTGGGGTTTTCCTTGAGAGGCTCTCCTCCACTCTCATTCACATCATTTGAAACCACTTCCTTCACTTCATCACTCCTAACCTTAGGGTCAATTTCAAGCTTGATTCTCTCCTTACCATCCCTCAGAAT